TATATTAAAGTGAAATATTTTGTCGTTTTAATCTTGATGATTACTGCTTACAGCTCATGGAAATCAAATATCTATATCTCAAAACTATTATAGAATATAGAATATTAGAATAAAGAATATCTAATACAGAAATCTAGGTCTTCTGAAAAGTGGAAATGTTCTAGAAAAAGGTTAATTTATCCACTTTATCAGTACTTGGTCGGGTCTCTTTTTGCACAATTTACTGCATCACAGTGACATGACATGGGGATATGGAAGCCCAGGTTGCTTTGATAGCAGCGTTCAGCTCGTCTGTATTGTTGGTTTGGTGTCTCTCATTTTCCTCTTGACAACCGCATAGATTCTCTGACCAACCAAGCACAGTAACACCATGGTCAGCAAACCATTCACTAGTGGCTTTAGCACTGTGTGCAGGTGCTGGAAAAGGAAATCAGCATCTCCATAAAGCTCGTCAGCAGATGGAAGCATGAAGTGCTCTAAAATCTCCTGGGAGACGCTGCACTGACTCTGGACTGAGACAACACGCGTACCTTCATCTGGAAAGAGGACCACCTCAATGGTCCAGTTCTTTTCCTCCTTAGCCCCAGGTAAGACGCTTCTGACGTTGTCTCTGGTTCAGGAGTGGCTTGAAACTAACAATGCGACACTTGTAGCTCATTTCCTGGACCCGTTTGTACCTGGTGACTCTTGATGCTCTGACTCCAGACTCAGTCCACTCCTCGTGAAGTTCCCTTAAGTTCATGAATCAACTTTGTTTGACAATCCTCTCAAGGCCGTGGTCATCCCTGTGGCTTGTGCACCTTTTCCTACCACCTTCCAGTCAACTTTCCATGAATATGCTTTGATCCAGCACTCTGTGAACAGCCAGCCCTTTCAGCAATGACCTTCTGTAGCTTACCCTCCTTGTGGAGGGTGTCAATGAGTGTCTTCTGGACAAGTCTACTCCATGATTGTGGTTGTGTTTACTGAACCAGACTGAGAGATTAAAGGCTCTTATAAGGTCCACATTTAATTCTTTATTCTAATATTCTAAAATTTTGAGATATAGATTCTTGATTTCCGTGAGCTCTAAGCCATAATCATCAAGATTAAAACAAAAAAGCCTGAAATATTTTATTTTGTATGTAATGAATGTCCTTTGTATACCTCTGTCAGAAATCAAAGAACCATTGTTTCAAATATTACTACGATTGTCCAGTGGTAAATCTGCCAGTTTTCATTGTGAACTACATGTACAGCGCTAGATTGGTTGAAAACTTGACAGACGTAGAAACAGAGCTTATGCCGTGATCATGCCATATTAACATTACACTGTAATGTGTTACATGTAAATAGTGTTCACATCAACAGTCACATTTTTCTGAATGCTCTGATATATCCAGCTTAATAGCAAGATAGCGCGTAATAGCAAGAAAGTGCCTGAAAAACCCCAAAACCTGGATGCCTAATGTTAGTCTGTTGTTCAAGGTAATTAAACCCAGCTTTAATGAATATACTGTTTTATTGTCAGTGCACAGTATTTTGAACCCACACATGGCCAAATCTATAATCATACAACCGTATTGAGTTACAAGGTGACTGCTAATGGGTGACTTTTTTTTTGTATCTCACAAATATTTTTCGTGGATCCTTCCTGGGTGAGTGAGAGGGAATGAAAAAAGTAACCAAATAGATAGCTAGTATTGGACAAAGTAAAAACCTTTAAGTGACTCTTAAACCTTGGCCCCCTGACCTCCCTTCACTCGTGAGGAAACCAACCCAGTTTACTGTGTCCTCTCCTATGTTACTGCGAAAGTTACTTTTGACAATTTGAACTCTGAAACAAAAATAAGACACTAATTTAGTCCAGCCAATGCAAAGAGCAAACAGCAAGCAGGGAGTGAGAGTTATCATCAGAACAAACAAACTAATTTCTTTAGCAACATCCATCATCGCACAAGCTGTGTGTGTGAGCAGAATATGACAGCCACCAACAAAATTTAACAAGCACACACAGACATCACAGCACATACACAGCCACCATCAGCAACATGTGCATATTAATCCTTAACATTAACTTAAAAGGTTTAGGTGGTTTAGGTGAGGCAATGAGGTTGCAGGATCAAGGACAGATTCCAGATAGCAGGATACGTTTACCAGCGGCTTGAAAGCAGGGCAATGAGGCTCCCCCTCCCTCACAAACAGACCCTAAGCAGGTGTATTGAATTAAGCATGGGTGCATTCTATGGCTTGGGTATTAAATGTGTTCATTTTACAACATTTTTTTTTATTTTTACACAGCCTTGCTTTAAATCGAACACGTAAAACAAATTCTGGATAATAATAAATTTATTTGTCTCCCATGTTTTACTATTACAGTTCCTGTTTTGGAACAAATGGCACACTCTCAAAGACAGGTGGATTACTTTGTTATCATATGGTCAGATTATATGGTGTCTCAGAGTACTGAACAGACTATTTCCATTGGAAACAAATGGATTTATAGCTCCAACTTGTTTGAGAGACACAGACTGTAATGAAAAACATTTCTTTTCTAAATGGGATTCCACAAACACAGGGCTGGCCCCTGGCTAACTGGCTTTACTCTTCTGCTTTGTCAGACTGATGCAATTGCAAGTACTCTGCTGGACTCCCTTCAGAAGTCACCACAAGGCAATATGAGTGAAATGTTTTCCTGTCAGGCTGGGGTCAAAACCTCTCTACTTGTTTATGAGATGCTCTAGAGGATCTGCTCTTTTGGTAATGGTAGGCCATTTCAAAGGCTGGATTAGAGTGCAGTTGGCCCTTTTGTAATAGTGCTACGGTTCTGGATATGGATATGCTATAATGTGATTTACCCAGTCACGTTGTTGTAAGCTTGCAGATGCAGGAAGGGCTCAGGTATCGATCTGCAAAAAACTAAAGAGAAACCTTTTTTATTAATTACAGTGAGACAAACATTTCTGTGCTCCATCTGAAAGGATGCAGTGCCCTCTTTTGGATAAGAGATGAAGTCTCTCATTTTCTTTGAAGGTCAAAAGATCCAAATTCATCAACATATTGTAACCATTCACACGCTTTCTTATCTGTACATGTTGTCTGAAGATTTTTAGAGATGGAGATTTTGATGTCCATCCCCAACTAGCACATATACTGATGGACACTACAGTGGATAGAAAAAGTCTACACATCCCTGTTAAAATGCCAGGTGATGTAGAATAATGAGACATGTCAGAACTTTTTCCACCTTTAATGTGACCTATAATGTGAACAATTCAATAGAAAAACAAATTGAAATGTTCGAGGGGGAAAAATAAAAACCTTACAATAACCTGGTTGCATAAGTGTGCACACCCTCTTATAACTGGTGATGTGGCTGTGTTCAGAATTAACCAATCGCATTCAAACTCAGGTTAACTAGGAGTCATTACACACCTTCCATCATTTAAAGTGACTCTGATTAATCACAAATAAAGTTCAGCTGTGAAGGATTTTCCTGATATTTTCTTAGTTGCATCTCTGAGCAAAAGCCACGGTCCGCAGAGAGATCTCACTGTTGAAAGACATAAGTCAGGAGACGGGTACAAAAGAATTTCCAAAGCATTAGATATACCATGGAACACAGTGAAGACAGTCATCATCAAGTGGAGAAAATATGGCACAACTGTGACTTTACCAAGAACTGGACGGCCCTCCAAAATTGATGAAAAGACGTAAAGAAAACTGGTCAGGGAGGCTTCCAAGAGGCCTACAGCAACATTAAAGGAACTGCAGGGATTTCTGGCAAGTACTGGCTGTGTGGTACATGTGACAACTATCTCCCGTATTCTTCATATGAATGGGCTATGGGGCAGGGTGGCAGGACGGAAGCCTTTTTTTACAAAGAAAAACATCCAAGCACGGCTGAAGTTTGCAAAAACAAACCCCCAAAAGCATGTGGGAAAATGTGTTATGGTCTGATGAAACCAAGGTAGAACTTTTTGGCCATAATTCCAAAAAAAAAAATACACTGCACATCACCCAAGGAACAGCATACCCACAGTGAAGCATGGTGGTGGCAGCATCATGCTTTGGGGCTGTTTTTCTTCAACTGGAACCGGGGCCTTAGTCAGGGTGGAGGGAATTATGAACAGTTCCAAATACCAGGCAATTTTGGCACAAAACCTTCAGGCGTCAGTTAGAAAGCTGAAGATGAAGAGGAAGTTCACCTTTCAGCACAACAATGACCCAAAGCACACATCCAAATGCACAAAAGCATGGCTTCACCAGAAGAAGATTAATGTTTTGGAATGGCCCAGCCAGAGCCCAGACCTGAATCCAACTGAACATCTGTGGGGTGATCTGAAGAGGGCTGTGCACAGGCGACGTCCTCGCAATCTGACAGATTTGGAGCGCTTTTGCAAAGAAGAGTGGGCAAATATTGCCAGGTCAAGATGTGCCATGCTAATACACTCCTACCCTACTGTAATAAAATCAAAAGGTGCTTCAACAAAGTATTAGTCTAAGGGTGTGCACACTTGTGCAACCAGGTTATTTGAGGGTTTTTATTTTTCATTTTTCCCCCTCAAAGATTTCAATTTGTTTTTCTATTGAACTGTTCACATTATAGGTCACATTAAAGGTGGAAAAAGTTCTGACATGATTTATCTTTGTCTCCATTATTTTACATCATGAGAACCAAGCATTTTAACAGGGGTGTGTAGACTTTTTCTATCCACTGTATTTGGACCAGTCAAACCAAAACACTATTTTGCGGCCATACTTCATATTACACATTCCTGTCTCAAAGCACGTCTGTACATTAGATCAAATCTGACTCTTAAGTTGGCATAAATAAATAAATGTTACAAAGTGGTGGTTGGTGCAAGAGCATTTCCTCTAATGGCACTGAAGCACTTTTCAGGCGTGTGTGAGTGGGGCTTAATCACTTGTAAGACTTGATTGAGTGTGTGTTAATAAACATTAGGCTGTCTCTCTTCCCCTGGTGATTAGTGGTTTATGTGCTGTTCTGCTCTGTGCAGGCTGAAGACGCAGTCCTGAAGATTGATGGAGGGCCATGCTATTCAAACAGCAGGCATTGCTGAGACAGAAGCTCTTCGTTCTGGGCAGCCTTGCTATCGGAAGTGTCCTCTATCTTGTGGCCAGGGTTGGGACCTTGGATAGGTAAGTCATCACTATCACATTGCACTACTTTTAGCTAGCGTGGTGGTTTGCCCCGCCCCTTATGCTGGAGTCCGGGTGCTTGAACTTTTTTCAGCTTCTAAAGGGGGGAAATTTGAAAAACACTTTTTTAAAGTAACCTTTTGTAATGATCTATCATATCTTTTTTAAAATTCACACTCTATTTTACTGATATAACAGTTTCAGTGAATAAATGTAGGCAATCATCCACTTCATGAAGTTGTGGTACTTCATACAAGAACTTGGCAGTTCTTAGGATGTTTTTACAGTTTTGGCAGCCACAGGTCTAAAGACGTTTTTGTCTTTAGACAAAATGAAGCCTTTCAGGCAGTGTGTCCTCTGAGACATGTACCTCAAAACAGGTGAAAAAGCTTAGTGGACAGAGTGGAACAACTTTATAGATTAAAATAATTTTAGTTTTCTTTTGTAAGTTTTTGGTTCAAGCAGTAGTTCAACATTTTGGATAATAAGGTCATTTGCTTTCTTCCAGACAAGTAGGTTGATACCCCTCTGATGTCTGTATGTTCTGCTCCTCATATGTTTTGTTACGTGGAGTTACTACTTCCAGAATATCATACTTACTATATAATGCATTATAATTACCATTTTATTTGAAGAGCCAAATCCTGAGGGGGATATTTATTAACTATATAGGGCCCTCAGAAATTCCACAATGGAACAAAAGTAGTTTCCATGGTACAGACTTTCTGCTAACAGTCCCGCAATGCAGTGCATTACATTTTAAAGATAACGGTATAAATAGATTTACTGTTGCATTACACAACACCTGTCGATGCTGCGATGATTGAAAATGATACTGAATCAATAAGTCTCTAAAAAAGCTCAATGTACTGCTCACTGTAGAGTTAACTCCTGAGTGTTTACTGTCCATATAGGAAGAGTGAATGAGTGGGTAAGGGAGTGATTTTAGACAGATCTTTGGTCATGTTCTTTACAAAAAAAACTCAGTTAGGGTACATGGTCCCCTTCTGATTTGCTGCACTGATCAAGTCCCTTTTGTCTGATATTAAATCCCAATAGTCTTTTTTTAAACAAGTGATATAAATCTGGTCATTCCAAGCAATTTGAAGAAGTTAAACAATTCTCACCAAAAGCCTTTGGTTGAAATAATCTTACTTCAGGTTTTTCCCTTGTTTTGACAAAACATACTTTCAAGTTTCAATAATTTTTTATTAAATAATTTTTATAAATTTTTAAAATTAAAGTGCATGTCAGGTGTATTTTTATGCATAGAAAATGAACTTCCTATGCAATCAGGAGTGCGTTGTTGGCATGGACAGTAACAGCTGTTGAGGCTTAACAGGCAAAGCACCAACTGCAGAAAATCAGCTTGATTATCATTTACAAGGCAAAACGTGTGTTTAGTACTTTCTGAGTATTTAGCAATGAAATGGTAAAATACTAAATCAAAAAGGAATATTTGCACTAGTAGTTTCACCAGCCATAGAGCTTGTTTGAAATGAAGTTATGGATTCTTGTAATGCATAATAGTTAAGTTAAGACTGAGAATGTCTTTTTTTGCTTTTCATCTCTTTTAGGTTACAACCCATTTGCCCCCTTGAGAGCAGAGTGCCCCCTCCTGAGCCAGAGCAAATCCCTCTCCGTACCCTGCAGTTTAAGCGTGGCCTGCTCCATGAACTTCGCAAGGGCAATGCCACCAAAGAGCAAATCCGTCTGCACAACCTGGTCCAGCAGCTGCCTCGGGCCATCATCATCGGGGTGCGCAAGGGGGGCACCCGCGCCCTGCTGGAGATGCTCAACCTGCATCCGGCAGTGGTCAAGGCCTCGCAGGAGATCCACTTCTTTGACAATGACCAAAACTACGCACGAGGCATCGACTGGTACAGGGAGAAAATGCCCTTCTCCTTCCCTCATCAGATTACCATTGAGAAGAGCCCGGCCTACTTCATCACAGAGGAGGTCCCTGAACGCATTTTCAAGATGAACTCCTCCATCAAGCTGCTGATCATAGTCCGGGAGCCCACCACCAGAGCTGTGTCCGACTACACGCAAGTGCTGGAGGGCAAGGAGCGCAAAAACAAGACGTACCACAAGTTTGAGAAGCTGGCCATCGACTCAAACACTTGCGAGGTGAACACAAAGTACAAAGCGGTGCGAACCAGCATCTACACTAAACACTTGGAGCGCTGGCTGAAGTACTTCCCCGCAGAGCAGTTCCACATCGTGGACGGGGACCGCCTCATCACGGATCCGCTGCCGGAGCTGCAGCTCGTCGAGCGCTTCCTCAACCTCCCCTCAAGGATCAGCCAGTATAACCTGTACTTCAACGCCACCAGGGGATTTTACTGTCTGCGATTCAACATTGTCTTCAACAAGTGCCTGGCAGGCAGCAAGGGCCGCATCCATCCAGAGGTGGACCCGTCGGTGGTGACTAAACTGCAGAAGTTCTTTCACCCCTTCAATCAGAAGTTTTACCAGATCACCGGTCGGACATTCAGCTGGCCATGATCAGCTTATCCAATGAGATTGCTTGGATTGATATTTTGTTTTTTGTTTTTTTCAAACACAAAGCCACCATGTCTCAAAGATAGTAATAGCACTTTGATTGCATTTAATACAAGAATGACAGTGTGACCAAATATAAAAAGAACTTGATGTGTGAGAATAAAACAAAACAGTTTGATGATTTGACTAAGAGGTTCAATTCAAAGCACTTGACCCTGCAGATAATTCACCTGTCTGTCATTGTTCCCTAAAGAGGAAAAAAAGGACTGAACTGTGTGATTAACTAAAGAGATTATTTTTGTTGCTCTTTAAAAGACTATCAAACACTGACATTCATGCTGTTAAGATAAGCTTTAAGTGTGATGCTTTTTTCATGATTAAACACTTAAAAGATGACAAAATGACATTTGATAAACAGTTTTTCATTTGTTCCCCATCATTTTTGTTTATTTGACCAAAACTGCATGTGCAATCAAGATGCCATTATAACGTTGTGCACTCTAGTATTAGTTGTCTTCTGTTGTCAGTTCATGTTGTCTTTAACCACATTTTATTTTTAATTCAAGCTGCGATAATTCCATTAGATGGTTACCTCTTTTAATTCTCAACAGAATACCCATTCTAAAGAGCAGGACAAAATGAGGATAGCTACTCAGAATAAGATCTAATGATTCAAACTTGATTCAAGCCATGCCCAAAACCTTCAAAGCATTTAAGACTCAAGCTTGTGTTTTTAATGTAAGTATGATGTTTCCTCCCCCTACAGCGCTTCCATGGGTTTGGGAAATACCAGGCAAAAAAAGCTATGGTGGAGGAAAAAAAGTTTCCCTCTGATGATTCTTGTCAAACTGACTGTTTATTCTGTGATTATTAGCAAAATGTGTCTGTTTCTGTGCAAATATTCATTCTGTGTCATAAGTGTGTTGTTAAAAAAGGTGATATTAAAATAATGTGAACATTTGTCAGCTGATTTATTGTGTACATTTGTTTTATTTTTTTGCAATTAAATGGAATAGTTTAACATGTTGGAAAAGTACTCTAATGTCTGTGTAATAAGACATTTTGCTGGAGTCTGGAGGTTATTAGCCTAACTTAGCATAAAGAATGGAAGCAAAGGGAAACAGCTAGCCTGTTTCTGTCCAAAGTTACAACACCTCTAAAGCTCACTAATTAACATGTTGTGTTTATTTATTCCAACACAAAGAGAAATATAAAAACGACCATTTGTGGATTTAGAGGGCGTTAGATGCTGTAATTATTTCTCTATGAACCACTGCTGGGCGTAGTGACTGCGCACAACCTGCTGGAGTTTTGTTGTTGCAGTGACATTGTCAGGTTTGATACTATTGCACATGCACAGATCTGTTTTAAAAGCTGTCCTCACCAACTATATCCAACAACCTGCACTGTAGCTGGAGATGCTCCATAGAAGTCCTGAGAGTGGCAGCAATCTTCTTATCTCTCAGAAAGAAAGCAAATAAGCACATCACTGTTTCTTTAACTTAATAAAATCAAGCCTGCTGTATTTTAGAGATCTTTGATGAAACAGGACTTTTCTTACAATGATGACGGTGGTGCATGCAGATGCGTTGGCCAATAGCTCCTTCAAACTTTCCCATATTTGCTTTAATTTGTTGTTTTTACCTTTATTGCTGTAGGACATATTACCTATGTCACAAACACACTCATCAGCATTGGAAAATGAAATTTGGGGATTGGAGCGCAGCTATAAATAGAATGGACAAAATTGCTGTCACATTGAAGCATTACTGTACGTTAGTATGGGGTGTTCAAGAAAAAGAAAAAACTCACAAAATCATAAGTCAGTTCTCCTCTTAGTTATACAGCCCATATTAGCAACATTAGCAGGACTGTGTATCGCATCACCTGCATGCACACATGTGGGGGCCCAGAGCTTACCCTAGCACCTCCTAGAAGGTTAATACGGCCCTGCCACAGCCCCAGGTCCATGTGCAAACCTCTACCTGCACTGGAACCTTTGCTGGGAAGCTATACCCGACCTCTGACCACCTATAGTAGAATTTCTCTAAAGGAATTAAATTAATAGCTAATGAAAACATAGCATGCACATGAGTCACATTACCAATAGCTTGCAGAATACCAGTGATTTAAAAATGCTGGCCATGTTGTTTTACTGTTTCACTTACAGTTGTGGATTGTTGGTAGGGAAAGTAACAAAGATTATGCTGACACTTGTTGTGTTAAAGCAGTACATAAAGTGCTGTAGCAGTAGTATTAATTATTTTCTACATAAACCATAGAAAGCCTAATTCTTACTTATCTGCCAAACCCTCGTGTGTTATTTATACATTTACTTGTCCTCACGTCACGGTACAATAAAAACGAATTTACCCATCACGTATTTGCAGAAGCATAAATGGGTCCTCTCTGATGTCTGGGGCCCGAGGCCACTTTATAAGGTAGCCCCACCCTGGTGCACTCGCGCCTCCCACCCACCCACCCACCCACCCACCAACGCTCCGCTGTGTTGATGTCGTCCATCCCAACCTGCATCTGCTGACGCAAATTCAAAGTAACTTTTAGGAAAAGTGCTGCAGACATGGCATACACGACTGCGGGTGGGACTAAGAAGAAGGTCTGCTACTACTATGACGGTATGAAAGCTGCTGAGTGTCTGAGTGAGGAGCCCTAATTGAGGTGTCTGGCAGGCTAACGCTAACTTAGCCGCTTAGCTAGTCTGTGCAGCTGACCGTGCTGCTGCTGAATGTTTGCTGTTTACAAGCTAGCTAACGAGGAAGCTCGTCGCTAACGTTAATGACATCGCCTGAATGGCCTCCGTGGTGCTAACTAGTATCACCCTGCATGTTCACGCTAAGTGGTTAAAAAGCTAACCCCACTTCACGGAGAGCGAGCAGGAGTGTGAAAATGAACGCAAGTAAGCATACATTACGGTGAAGAGGTTATTAACTGTTGAAGTAAATGTGCTTAACACTGTAACGTTAATCCCAGCATTCATTATCATCGTTGTTTGAGCCATAACTACTCATTGCAACTTTGGCCAACCTGGAAGAATAAATTTAGACCCGGAGAGTCAAAGTTCCATATTTGAAGCCACAAAGTGAAATGAGCAAGTGTTTCATGCACGATGTGCTCTGGAACAGTTGGTGCGTAACGTTACTCAGCGGAGAATTAACGCCTGTTTGGGTCCAGATGATTTAGATTCCTTTAGAAATTCACAGCAGAGGAGACAGTCCTGACACACAAAGTGTACCCAGGTCCTCCCCCAGAGGAATTACTGATTATTTTTAAACTTGGCAGTTCAGGTCATTGAGGACATAATTAGTCCCATTTCTTGTTTTCCTCTTCATTTACAATGGACCAGGACCATAAAGTGTCACTCTGTGGCTCCACAGTGGCCTGGTTCGCTGTTAGCTTTTGGATAGTTGTTTATGTACACTAATATTGACCAAACCAGCAGTGTGACCATATGTCTGTAAAACCCACATTGAATGGTGGATTTCTGATTTTAAATTAGTCTAACTACATGTTTGTTCGTGTGCTGAAAATAGTCTCTAATATATAAACCATTCCCTCCTGTTTGAGTAACATTTGCTACAAACTACAGTGCCCAGCAGTTTTAGGACGTTAAAGAAGCAACAAACAAACAAAACGCATCGCCAGAAAGCACAATTCCCAGAAGACAATATCCCAGAGCAGAATGGCGCGTCAATGGAAATTGTCATCATGGTGTATAAAAATATTACAACTGAAGCCCCACTAAGGAGAAGATAATCGTGATCAGCGCTCCTTCTTATAGCCTTTAACACGTTTCCCTTTGCAGGTGACATTGGAAATTACTACTATGGACAAGGGCATCCCATGAAACCACATCGTATCCGGATGACTCACAACCTGCTTCTGAATTATGGACTATACAGGAAGATGGAGATCTATGTATGTTTCTAACCGCTAAATTCTTCAGTAACGTGAGCATAGCTGGAGCCGTCTTCTTTGCTCCCCTCGTTTTCACCCAGTTACTTTGGTTTGCGTTTCAGAGACCACACAAAGCCACAGCAGAGGAGATGACAAAATATCACAGTGACGACTACATCAAGTTCCTCCGATCCATACGGCCGGACAACATGTCCGAGTTCAGCAAGCAAATGCAGCGGTGTAAGTATTGTGCATTCTCCTTTTGTGTAGGGTTTTCACTAGGGCTGCAGATTACAATAATTGTCATTGTTAATGACTCATTTTGATTATTTCTTAGTAGTTTAATTGCTTAGTCTGTATATTTTCACAAAAAACCCCAGTGTCCCTGAACTCAAGAAGACCTCTTCAGAATGCCTCAACAGCCTAAATGTTTTACAGTTCAGTGTTTCCCACAGAATGAGAACTCACTGTGGTGAGCAAGAGAGAGAGGAGGTGCTGAGTTAATATATGCGCTGTGCACAGCTCTGTGATCAAATGCGATTTTACCCATTTTAAATAGTAAAAAATAATAATATCAATATGTGGCGGTCAGCGTTGATAATGTGGCAGATGCCACAAATAAATCAATGTGTGGGAAACACTGCAGTTGACCGACAGAGAAAAGCAGAAAGTCCTCACACTGGAGAAGCCAGAAGTAGTGAATCATTGGTACATTTCGCCTACTGAATTTTGGTTTTGAAAAAATCTGAGAGTTCATCAGTAATGCAATTGGAACCCTGTTCATCTGAAAAGGCTCACAACCAGCTGTGGGTGTGCTCGCATCAGTAATTGATGAAATATTGCTTTAATCTTGCAGTCAACGTTGGAGAGGACTGTCCTGTGTTCGATGGCTTGTTTGAGTTCTGCCAACTCTCCGCTGGTGGCTCTGCTGGTGAGTTATATATTTAAAAAATATAGATCTATAGAAAATTGATCACCTTGGATTTTCCGTTTGACGGCTAAATGTTGGAAGGCCACCCGCCACATTGGCGGGTAAATATATTCAGCACGATATCGCCATATGATTTTTAATTGACGGTAATTGGCAGCAGACCGGCACTCTTGTTGGTTGTGTTTAAATTGGTCCCGTGAACTAAGGGATCTAAAATCGTGTAACACATGGATTAGGGGCATTTATTGGTTGTTGCTAATGTTTCATGTTACTTGTGTTTGATTGGTGTAGATTTGTACAGGGGTGGGCGTTAATGGACAGGAGTCGAGAGGGGAGAGTTTAGCCACTTTCATACGGAGATCAACGTGGAAAGAATATCCGCGTTTATTCGCTAATTCAAACTGAACCAAAGGTTTTCAGCATTATCCCACAGCCGTGTGTGCTTTCACATAGCGGTCTGGCTTTACCGGAACCAGCGGCGTGTAAAAAAACTGTTGTGTGTAACACAACACCGGCATGTCGGCTGTGGCTTTTCACACATAGATCGTCTCTCTGTCTCGCCTCTGTAACCAAATTTCCCGGCTAAAAGACGGATCAAATCAGACCCCCCCCCCTTTCCAGTGAGCCGGCAGATTGGCTAAAAAAGCAGCGTGAAAGCTACAAGTGTTAGGAGCTAATTACTAAAGTTGTACTTGGAGTGTTTTTAGCTTTTAACTAGCTAGCCACCGGCGTAATGTGGCGACATTAACGTTACCACCAAACCAATGAAATGAAAGTGAAGCAGAGGAAGAGGAGGCTGAAGCAGAACATAAAAAAAAATAAAATAAAATAAAGTTGGTGGATCAGTCTAGTGTCTGACACACTGTTGGATCTTCTAATGGTCCTGCTGTCCTCCCCAGAAATCAGAGTATGATCCATAAGCTATATTAAAAAAAAATGTTGATCCTACAAAAGCTGAGGTGTTGTGGCACCGGGACTCTGTCAGAACCAGGAGGCCAGAAGAGAGTGATTGTAGAAAGTGAGCAGTCTGAGGAGGAGGTTTAATTTGAATGATAAATCATGATTAAAAGTGAGCAGTGATGACATTTCAGTTGAAAGATTAATAAGAATCTTGTTAGTTTAGAAAATGATGATTTTGAAACGATGATTTTAGTATTCCAAAACTTCGATAGATTATTTCATCGATGCACCCTGAACACGAAGCAGCTGTTTGTTATTATAAAGATGGCAATTATAAAGACAAAGAATCTGGGTGAAAGGATGGATTAGCACATGCAGGTAGCAGGGATTGTCTGAGCTACAGAGAGCTGCAGGGGAGTTAAAAGGTGCAGCTCCCCGACACCCAGTTAACTCATGACTGTGAGAACAACAAACGCTCGTGTGCACATTTTCAGCTGAGGACTGCGGCTTACTTTGGCTTCAACTCAACAATCAATCATGACTTCAGTTAAATGCTAAAGTTGCTGTTACTGTTACCTTGTCTGTGGTCCGCCGGTAGAACACCGGGGCTTTTTGTTCAGCTGCCGTTGTGCTGTTGCTGAGGCGACATAAGTTTCCTTTTACAGTGGACGGACAGTAAGATTACAGAGTTATTGTTTTCTTTAGCTTGAAATAATCCCATACTTTGGACACTTTCTTCTTTGTCTCTCGCTGTTGTCTCTCTGTTCCTCCACTTTGCAAACAGCTCCATTATAATCAAGTCATGTTCACAGCGTAAGCGCGATGTGCCACATTAATAAATGTCCGTGCGAAACACTGTGAAGCAGAATCCAGTCCGACAACGGGTGTTTATTTGTCCAACAGCTGGAGCGCAGCTCCCTCATCCTCTCCCCCAAGTTTAGCAGCTCTCCGCCGGCCAGCGGATTTTCAATCGCCCACTCTGCCTGACCCTCTCCATGCAACGCTCTGAAGCCGTCTGTGACAATCGGATAATGTCAAGGACAATCTTGAGTTGAAAATATTCCAGTCATGCGAATTCCTTCATTTAGCCTTGGCGTCGCTGCCACCGCCCCCTTTGTGCCGCCCGACAGAAAAGCGCAGCTCCACGCATCTTTACATTGACTTTGCTTCACTTTTGGTCTGAAAGCACCATAAGAGTAGCAAAGTTAGGTCTTTTAAGGTGTGTGTGTGTGTGTGTGAGGATGAGCAAGTGTGAGAGCGACCGGAAAAAAGTGACAAGCGAGCCAGCAGGACTGGACGTGGCGGCGTCACGTAACTACACGGTTTCTTTGTACATACAAGAGGAAAGTACATAAACACACACAGTAGGGGAAATATTAATAGGACTAAAATCCAAAATAACCGACATGGGAAAATTACGTCTGTTAGAAGCTTTTGGTCTCGATATCATCCAGCCCAAACTAGTTATATTACATCACATCCTCTGCACATAGAAGATGTCAAACCCATGACCGTATTAGACATACTGGCATTTTTAGCAAAGACTGCACACTACAATACAGATTTTTAAAGCACCATTCTCATTTTTACTTCTATCAAACATTTACAGTAATTCATTAGTTAAACAAATGAGTGTAATATCATTTATAGTATTTAGACAGATGCTAACTCACTGTCCCTATTCAGAGCAGAGAGATGTGCTGTCTTACAGCTTGTGTGTGGCTGGCTGGCTGGCTGGCTATCACTAAGTATAGCTAGGTCGAGTATTTTCAAACCAGTATTTGAACCTTTTTATTTACTCATGTAGAATTATGTCTATAAACTATAATAAAACTGTGAACAGAACGCTAAAGCCCCTGAAATCTGTTTCAAATCCAAAGTATTTCTTTCTAACATTAAATATTCATGACTATCGTAGGTACAACAACATATCAAAGTCGGCGGGAAAAATATAATTTGTTGTTATTTTTGAGAGTTTAACAGCCAAAATTCAGCTAATCTGCTTCATCATGTGGGTGGGATTTCTTCCATTTGACAGTGGCCTGATATCATCAGCAAACAACCCGACAGCCTGGGATTCAAATGTTGCCACATCTTTTCTTGAACAGACAGGACAGACAGAAATCTGTCAGTTAAATTTACCAACACTGTAATTTTGCAGAGAAAATGGGAAAATGTGTGTTCACAAAGGACCTCATGTTTACAGGGCCTTTAATGAAGGAAGCATTATCGATTGTAGGAGTGCAACAACTAATCGCTGTAGTTGACGAAAATCGATTATTAAATTTGTTGCCAACGGGGTACAGTGCTTTTAACCCATATGAGCAAATTCTCACATTTGTGGAAACTAATTTCATCGCTGATTTTATTAGAACCAGTTGGGACTTACCGGCATACATCTGGTTGGTAAATGAAAAGTATAGGCCCCGTTAGAGCTGTACTATTGGTGATTAAGAATCAGTCATGTAAATATTTCATCATTTTCCTAATGTTACTAAACCAAACGTGTTTTCTGTTGTACACAGCTGGTTCAGTGAAGTTAAACCGACAGCAGACTGACATTGCGGTTAACTGGGCTGGAGGACTTCACCACGCAAAGAAGTCTGAAGCCTCTGGATTCTGCTACGTTAATGACATTGTGCTGGCCATCTTGGAGCTGCTCAAGTGAGTTTCACCAACGTCAGTTTCACATAATGTTCATCTGCATGCAAGAAAATACAATAAATGAAAGAATTGCCTCCTAGTTAAACACACAAACAATCCCTTTTGTCCCGGAGAATAATTCTGTCCGTCCCAAACACATTTTCTATTATCATATCAAACAATGTGTCAGACAGCTGCTTCAGTTTCTGAAGGAAGGGAGGAGTGCATGATGGTATATATGGCTTGGTTAGTGACCATCGGTTGTACACTACTTTTCAAAATGCATTCTGGGATGTATCGAGTGGACTATATAGGGTATAATAATTATCACTATACATTCGGACACAGCCAGTGATCTAGGATTTATCTGATCCCGGTCTCTGAAACAGAAAACCTAGAGTTTCTCTTCTCAGGCTTATCACACTTAGTTTTCACTAATCCAGCTTTCTGAAACGGAGCCCAGGTTGTTTCTCTTGAAAATACAGTGTTAACCAAACAATGTGTCGTTGGTACTTATCCCAGCTCTCTCTGTGTTGTCCCTCTCTCCCAGGTACCACCAGAGGGTGCTCTACATTGATATAGACATCCACCATGGGGACGGAGTGGAGGAGGCCTTCTACACCACAGACAGGGTCATGACTGTGTCCTTTCATAAATATGGGGAGTACTTCCCTGGAACCGGAGACCTCAGGGTGAGCCTCAGCAAAACATTCAGTTGTTTGAAGCAGCCGAGAGTGAAATGGTAGAAAAGAAGAGAAATACTCTTACAACATAGTTTATGTTTGAAAAAAAGTCATGTTGGTTGGCTGCCACTCGGCTCTCCCACTGATAGTACAAGGGTATTCAGATCATTTAGTGATGGCTCTATTTCTCTCCACCCACCCCCCCCAATCTCTGTATATAGGATATTGGCGCTGGGAAAGGGAAATACTACGCTGTCAACTTCCCCCTGCGTGATGGCATCGAAGATGAGTCATACGAACAAATCTTCAAGCCTGTGAGTCTGACAGTGTAATCATGAATATGACTATGCTGTTTACATAGTACTTACAATATGTCAGAGCTGCTACCCGACTGAAAACATCTATAAATCCTGTATATATCCCAGTTACAGGGAATTAGATGGATCAGAATTTAACAGCATTCTAAAGTCAGAGATTTAGAGTTAAGCACAGTGTGAGACTTTCAAATGGAAATGCACACGTAGGAGCCAAAACCTTCTGGAAATTGATTTCAAATATATTCAGAGCAGAAGGTAGCACAACACTTGATGACACTGTAGAGTTGTTTTGAAAAGGAAATTGATATTCTGAATCCATCATAACAGTTTCAGTCAAAACACATTCAAATGCTACATTTCAATTTAAAGCGACGTCATGTCAGATGTGTTTTGTATTTTATGCGATTTGGCGCCCTACCTTCTGTGTAATCACCGCCATCCTAAATATGCACAGCTACACACGTTCATTTGTTATGATTACATTACAATCAAAACCAGTAAGCTGATCCACAGCCAAACAACAAGTGTGACAACACAAGACTTATTACTGACTAGTCCAACCGGAAGAAGGAAAGCTCTGCGTCTGTCCTGCAGCCTTTTCTTTCACTAAGCTCTCGTCAACGTCCAGCAGCCTCTTCTTAGCTCCCTCCATCAACGTCCTCTGACTTTAGCTAACGTTGCGTCCAAACAGGCTGCTGAGCCCGGTTATGTTGCCCACTCGCCTGGCTTCTGGCTCGACACCGGCGCCGCTCTCCACCAGCAGCAGCATAGTGTTGCTTGAAACATGGATGGAAAGCTAGTCAATAAAGCTAGACAGACACCTGCAAGAGCACTTACAGTAACGATACAGATGTCTGAGTGTGTTCTCCAGTAAGTTTGCTAACAACTAAGCAATTATAACTACAGGCTTACCAAATCAACTAAATCTAAACAATTCATCAACATCAGGCAGGCAGAACGCTCTTATTCTGAAATGCTCCATGTGGGAAATTCAGCCCTGCAGGGAACTGCAGGGAAACGGTTCAGAGCGCTGTGTAGCAGAAGCACACACAATGACAAACAACAAATCAACAACGTGGGGCAGGCTAAACGCTCCACTGCTGAAACACTTCCAGTGTGAGTTGACCAAGGACGGGTCAAAACCGTGGCGCAGCCATAACGCGGCGCACACGCCGCCTGTGTGAGTCCGGGGTCAGACTGCTGAATGTAGTGAAACCATTTTAGGTGCGCCTTGAAAATTGTAGTATTGCGTTATCTTTAATAGAGAGCACCAATCAAACTATTTAAAACAACTATTGGCCGATAACGATCCATGGCCGACCAACCGGATCACCCTTACTCGCTTCCTCTGACGAGAATACCTTGCTAGCGTCTTCCAAAGGACTCACATTATACATTTCAGGGGCACACTATCTTTCAACACCTCCTGAGTGTGACTTTGTGCAGGTAATGGCCAAGGTGATGGAGATGTACCAGCCCAGTGCTGTGGTTCTTCAGTGTGGTGCAGACTCTCTCTCAGGAGATCGCCTCGGCTGCTTCAACCTCACCATCCGCGGTACAGAAACACAGCAAATGGTGGTTGATGAATGGGAGCATAAGCCACGCAGGAAGTGTTATATTGTGCTTCTTGTTTTCACTAGGCCATGCCAAATGTGTGGAGTACATTAAGTCCTTCAACCTCCCGCTGCTCATGCTGGGTGGAGGAGGATACACCATCCGGAATGTGGCCCGCTGCTGGACCTACGAGACCGCTGTAGCTCTGGACACAGACATCCCTGATGGTTTGTCACTAATTCCAAGATGTTAAAAAAATCAGTGAATGTGAAGGACACAATAGATAGAAAGAGCAGCAAGTCTTGTTGGTTTGTGAGCCTTGCAGCAAACGTCCCTGAACTGTTGGTTTCATCTTCAGCTTGCTTTATTTGATTGTAAGAGGTCAACAGATGTCAGTAGTTCCCAGACAATCCTATCAAAAAGGAAAATGACTAATTAAGGCAGTGAATGCCTGACTCTCTTCTCTCACTAGAATGCTAGGCTGAGCTGTTCTCTCTACCAGAGGAACCGGTTTACTGGTTACTCCAGCCCACATATCAAGTCAGGTGGAAATCTGTTTGGACCAGTTTCTTCCTTTTCAGTGAATCTCAGAGCTAACGTTGGCCTCAACAATAATGTTTGGATATCTTCCTGCATCTAACCATATTAGACGGCCAAACTGCTTATGTACTGTAATTAGATTTTTCTTAAAAGGCACTCCACCACGTTAATCGGAAGGTCGGCGGTTCAGTCCCCAGGCTGCATGTCGAAGTGTCCTTGGGCGGGATACTGAACCCCAGATTGCCCCCGGTGACTATTCCACCAGTGTATGAATGTGTGTGAATGTTGACTGCAATGTAGTGTAAAAGCGCTTTGAGTGGTTGAAAAGACTAGAAAGGCGCTATACAAATACGGAGCATTTACATTTAATGTTTTCTGTGGATCTGGAGGAGCTTTGTCAAGTCTGAGAAATCACTTGTGAGATCTCAGCTTCTATAACAGCCTGTGTTGTAAACTGGAGGTGTGGCGTTCGATAGATGTGGCTGTTTCCCGGGCAGGGAGGGTCAAATGAACAAGTATCAAGTCACATGGAAATGGTAGGATTAAGCAGACTAAGGCCCAATCCACACTACTGCGTTTTTCGTTTTAAAACGGAGACCTTTCACTACGTTTGTTTTTAAACGCTGCCGACCCCGTTTTTTGTTTTGAAACTGGGAGCGTTTTAGTAAAGATGGGCAAAAACGGAGGACTTCAGAAACGATGAAGCAGACGCTCATGTTCGGCTCTCTGATTGGGTCTCACAAGTCATGCAAAGCAGAAACACGACGCCACTGACAGAGTTTTTGATTTGGTATTTTTATTAAAATATTCTGACTGTGCAAATAACACTTACAGCCTACACTGGCTACACTTGTGTAGACTCCCAGTCTGTTTTCTGCCGCCACAGTTGCGTAACTCCCGTGGTACATTCAATAACAGTCCCAGCTCGTTATTGGCCCATGCAAAAACAAAATCTGGTCTGATTTTTCGTCTGTAGTACTTTATTCTTTTCCCAAATCTTCTGTACCTACGGAATAGAGCATCTGCTTCACGTTTACACCAGCACGCGCATGCCCAGTGTACGTGACCGGCCACTAGATGTGCGTTTTCAGTCGTTTTAATGTAGACGGAGATCAACTCTGCTACGCAGCTAAAATGCTGGTGTGGACGGAGATTTGTGTATATATATATATATAAGGTCTAAAACACTGTAACATTGTTGACATCCTTCAAACATATTAAAATGTCAGTAGTATGTTGAATGCTATTTTTCATGAATTCTTTGAGTGTTTGGGAGTACAAAGTCATATAAATACAGTTTTACGTCTCAAAGTCTATGCAGACAACAGAGATAACTGAAATGATCGAAAAATGATGTTTTTATGTTTTAAATTCAATTGACCACATCCTCAGAGAAGCAAAGGCCATGTGTAGATTTGATGGAAGATTTAATTGACTCTTTTGTGTAATGAAATTAGTTCTCATTTAACAATTTGATGCATCAAAATAAATATCCACTTACAACTGAACCAGTGGAACTGGAAACAGGAAAAGGTCTGCAGCACCCCTATTGCTGGCCTTCTCTCCTTCTTTAGCCTGGGGTGTTGGGGATGGAAGTGATGGAGTATCTGGGGGTTAGTTGTGAGGGAATATTATGCGCCTTCACCTCTGGAAAGGAAACGCCAGACTGCTACCTTTCCTTGCAGAGAGCTGACTGGGCAGACTGTCTCCTCCACTGAGTGTGTGTAACATAAAGAGAGGGGATGTAATCACAGCTGTCCAATGGGCCAGTAGTTCTCTTAATGGAATTTCAGGACATTAACTGACCTCCCCCACTCAGTGAGGATCAGTGCAGGTTACAAAGCCGCAGTAAATCATATGAACAGGTGTGTTATCACTGCTTTTCATTCCAAACGACTGATAATTTGACACTTTGTTTTATCTGCAGCGTATAAATCTCTTTTAGCTGTGTGCTAAGATTTCAGTTTCTCAATGATGTTTCTATTGCAGAGCTGCCGTACAATGACTACTTTGAGTACTTTGGGCCTGACTTCAAGCTGCACATCAGCCCCTCCAACATGACCAACCAGAACACACAGGAGTACATGGACAAGATCAAGTATGTACAGTCATTTTTATTAGACTGTTTCTTAACAAAGCTGCAGTAGAGAGTTGTTGTTGTTATTATTACTGATAATTATGCAAACATGCTTTGATTATAATCTTGCATTTTAAATCCAGGCTTTTCATATCAATTCTGCTCTGAGATGGCCTGTTATTGTATTGTTTTTCTGGCTGCATCATATAGAATGTGTTCAAACATCCAAATATTTTGAGCAATAAAGTTCTTGGAAATGGTAGTGTGACAAATCGGTTTGACGTTCTCAACTGTAGATCCGCTAACCACTTTTTCTGGAGCTTTCAGCTATATCTCACGGTCTCTAAGCTAATGGAGTTTGCTCAGTATGAGAAAACTTCCTCAGGTTGTGATGATGTTCATCTGAAATTATTCAGATTACTCCCCGTATTTAAATTATTCAAAACTCTCAGCCCCCTCAGTGGGTCTTAAATGTCCTTGTCTAGTTTTGTGTTCCAGTGACCATACCTCAACTACAGCCATGTAGTATGTGACTTTACCACCTGAGCTACTCTGAATACCAGGAAAAAAACATATCTCTAAAGTGAAAGTGACTCATGTCTCACATTCATCTCAGAGCAAGTTTACGATGCAGCAAAGACGGAGCCTATGGTGGCTGTTGTAGTTAGTATGCACCAACCAAATAACTAGAACACATTCTCTTAGGCAGTATTGGCAGGTGTAGTCTGACTTTACACATTTCAGTTTTACATGAAGCTGATGAGTCAACCGGAAGATTAAACTGCTTAGGCTGCTGTCACAGAGCTTCAGTGATAGATGGAACAAATGTTCCTGTGTAAAAGTTGATTGCTGCAGAGCTGCCTTAATGCGTTGCTTGGTGTATCTGATTGTTGACAGGCAGCGACTGTTTGAGAACCTGCGGATGCTGCCTCACGCTCCTGGAGTGCAGATGCAGGCCATCCCAGAGGACGCTGTCCTGGACGACACTGTGGACGAGGACGCAGAGGATCCTGACAAACGCTTGTCCAGTAAGACTTCTGTGGATTAGACACACAGGAATACAGCAGGGCTGTTCAGTTATACATTCAGTTGGGCCAGATTTCAAAACCAGGAAATGTAGAAAGGCTAGACATTTTCGGCAACCCATTTAAAACCTGTCTTTAGCGTTTGGAAATAAATTGTGAAAAATTTTGATCATTGTTTCCCAAAGTCCAAGATGACGTCCTCAAATGTCCACAACCAAAAGAGATTCCGTGTACTGTCAAAGAGGAGCAAAGAAGCCAGAACGTATTCACATTAAACATTAAAAATATCAGATCATTTTTCATTTCAAAAAAATTACTCAAACAGATTAATCAATCATCAAAATAGATTGTGATTAATTATACATTCAATTAAACGTTGGACGCTCTAATATTGTATTCTAAATAAACTACCACAGCGCACTCAGTCAAAACCACTGGTTTGGTGTTTGGAGATGTTTATTTTCCCTCCAAGTACTTGCCAGCCCAGGCAGGCTTAAACTGACAGTTGTCATTGTCAGTTTTACGTTTCAGGGGTGACAGACATATTTTCAGTAGAGCACTTCTCTTCGTGTGACTGTCAAGAGCCAGATGTTTTGAAACTTAATGGCCTGAAGACAATTTTTACTGGCCCTCCTTCAAAAAGTTATTTATCAGTGTTACAACAAAACCAAAGACTTCTAAGTTATGTTATACTGTTAACATGTTTAATTGGTTATTAAATACATCCTGGATATAAAAAAATAAACTAAAATGTAATCACAGTTTAAAATTATAAAAAGGTTAACAAAACAAATTACTTTTAAAACAAAACATACTAACAGTCTAAAACACGACATCTCTCTCTCCTGCTGACAGCCATTTAATTTAAAAAGAGCAATGGATACAAGTCAGCTCTGCTGTCAATCATAAGGTAGTCCTGCCCAAAAGCATTTGCTGTGTTATTGTCTATTTCCCCCTAAATAGGACCATAATTTACTCAATTAACATCATGTTGTGTTGTAACAATACTTCAAACTAGCGACTGAGACCGGACACTCATTAGGAAAGTTTTTACTGATGTAATAAATCGGCTGAGAAGAAGCAACATTTTAACATCATTTCTAATAGAACTGGACTCGCCCCCTGCTGGCCGTTAGAGAGAATGCAGTTTTAAGTGATTGAGATTAAAGAAATCAGCCACTAGTCACGTAACTACACATCTGGATTGGACAATGGCATGCGCCATGAGTTGCGAAGCAACTGCAGGATGTTGAGTTTTTAATTAAATCTTTTAAATACTAATGTTTTTGCACTGGCCCGGTGTTACTTTTTACTGGCCCCGGGCCATCGGGCCACCGTTATTGTAAACCTACTGCATTTGCATTTTGATGATTGTAATAATGAATAGAGACCTACCCAGCTGTACAGGAACAGTGTTGGTCCTTAATATTGTTGTCCTGTTTCTCAGTAGTTAATAATAATAATACGGTGGTTCACTTTTACTACGTCAGTTTGACTGCCTGCAAGCAATGCAACTGCCAAACTGTCTGCGTCTTTCTGAGATCGCTTTTTCCAACAGTTAGACAATATTTCTCCAGGGAGTGCAGTATTAAACAGTGGCAGTGCCGTGTTAAAAGTCTGACAAGTTCAACAGTTTGTTGGACTTAGCAACAGTAACTAAGGGGGGCGTGGCTTAGCTAAGGGTCAAATGGTTTGTGGCTACAGGTTTTCCCCCTGTAGCGTCATTAATCAGAGTGTCTTGTGCGATTGCAGTCCGTGCCACAGATAAGAGGATAGCCTGCGATGAAGAGTTCTCTGATTCTGAGGACGAGGGGGAGGGAGGCAGGAGAAACGTGGCCAATCACAAGAAGGGAGCAAAAAGGCCAAGAGTTGACGAAGACAAGAAGGAAGGCGAGGAGAAGAGAACTGGTGCGTATTCTCAACTTGGACACATTGAGGGATTATTCCACTGAGGTGAAATGACTGTTGTTGTTATTAATGATGTTATTTTATAAATGTTTTATGTCCTATATCCTATCGCAGATATAAAAGAGGAAGAGAAAACAAAGGACAGCAGTGCGGAGAAGACTGACTCAAAAAGGTGATAACCCTCTACATGGTATTTGTCCAACAACACCTGTCCCCTAAACCTTTCTTTCATATTTCTGTATTACCTCACGCTTACTCACTACTCTTCAGGTCCAGTTCACAGCAACAAAATGCAGTTTTAAGTTCAGTAATGGCCTGCTCACACCTGACGGCAGTGTTTTTACTTTTTTTTTACTCCCCTATGTAACCTGGTTACTATTTGCTTTCAACAGTTGCCGTTTCTGTAAACCTTGTTTCTGCAGGTCCACAGTGTGTACAGGCTTTGTCTGATGTCTGAGGGTAACCTGGTTTCTTGGGTGATGTAAATATACTGTAGAGATCCGCTCCTGTTTAAAACATTACAGCTGTCTATACAGACGTAATGGCTCACACTGTATGCACTTAAAAGTGTATTGTTGCGCTTCAACTGTATTTTGTTCAGTTTTTTGCGCGGAACTTCCTGCCAAAATGAGGGTGAACTACATTCAGTACAGATGCGGAAAGCATTCTGTGTAGACTCAGAGGACAGAAGCTGCTCTGCTAACGGGCTGCTCACGCTATGCCTCCTATGTAGACAGATCACTTTTATTTATATAGCACATTTAAAAACAACAGGAGTTGACCCAAAGTGCTCTCCAAATCTACAATATACACAAATACAATTACCCGTAAAACTTTAATAAATACCCGAGTCCCAAATAGCTGCCTACCCCATTGACTGGCCTGGTGTGGGGAGAGTGCCGACTCGCTTTACATTTGAAGCACTCGTTGAGGCCGAATGTGTCCATTCCTTGATTTATTTATATTTCAGTAGTCTGTAAGGGTCCACCGATCAAAAAAACAAAACCTCTCTTCATAAAAATTCATGTAAGTTGTGAATCCTGTCATGTGAGGTCCATCACGCTCTGTCTGCTAACTTCTGCCACACTCTCATTCTGCACCATGTTTTCATTATGTTGCTTTCAAAATAGAAGTTCATAAGCCGTCTGTCGGAGCTTAATCAAATTAATGACGTGTATTTGATATTATTTCATTTCACTTTTTCACTATTTCATTTTTATACAAGTAATATTCTGTTTGAAATAAATAAACTGTTTCATAGTAGCCTATTTCAGTTTTGTGAAAGAGGAATTAAAGGCCTCTCCCATATCGATGACCGTCCCAAATAAAAGCCCAGGCTATTAATCAAAGTTTTACGGTATACATTAAAAAATAAAAAAAAGGAATAAAAAGTACAAGGTTAAAAATCAGAAGTAATAAAATTTAAAAACTCAAAAACAAAAAGATCAACAACAGATTAAAATGCTGAGAGGAGGTTAAAATAATTAAGAGTAGGCCTGACACAAACCGTTAAGTCACACCAGTCAAATGAACTAAAAGCCTGAGGGGGGGGTTGGAGAGGACTTAATGTTGGACGGGAGACTATTCCAGAGCCTGGGGACAGAAGCAGACAAGGGCTGGCCACCTTTGGTTGTGAGGCATAAGTGGGGTACTGAGAGTTGTTGTTATGAGGATGACCTAAGCGACTAAGGAGCAGAAAATGGAATCAGCATGTCAGTGTCTTGTGGAGCTAATCCATTGTGGGCTTTAAAAAACAGATGGTAAAAATTTAAATCAATTCTGTACCTCACCGGTAACCAATGCAAGTGAGCCAGAATCCAGCTGAGAGGTGATAAACCCATGTGTAACTGTTTCCAGGTCCTTGTCATGCATTATTGTTACTATGGTTCTAAGCTGATGAAAGCTGCCCTTCACAATACTACTGACTTGTTAGTTAACATTCAAAGAAAACGCCAAGATTTTCAACTACATTATGCAAATTTCTGAACAGGGGACCGAGCACATTGCGTAAGCTTGTGACTGAGCTAGGAGGGATAAATAAAATTACTTTGGTTTTGTTTTCATTAAGTTGGAGGAAGTTCCTTGCCATCCAGCATTTGAGTGTTGCATTATGTTTATAATGTTTCTCACCGTATTGCGGTTGGAAAGGCACTATCTGAATGCAGTCCATCATATTCCAGTACCAGGTCCAAGACAGGACTCCATCACTGCTCAGTTCTTCCTGAGCCTTTTGTGACCACCAGACAACATGAAGTGCAGATTGGCTTTCTGTGGAGTTACATATGGCTCTTTGTTTGTTTGTAATATAGTGTGAACACTAAAAAGACACTGCTTTGGCCTGGACCTGTGGGTCCGCTTTCACCGCATTCAGAAGTCATATTAGAATTAGGAAAGTATTCAGTAGAACAGCTCTCTTTAGTTACGTCTCTAAAGTCTATGAGAAAGAGAAAGTATTATGCACCTTTCCCCTAAGCCTCAGACTAAATCTACAGCTGAGATCACCTCATTTGTCTGTCATTTGGCAGTGTGAAGACTGAGCAGACGAGCAGCGCCTGAATTGTTCTTCTTAACCCCACACACAGCTCAGCGGTGCTGTCCTGCCTCAAGGATCCAACTCTTCACTGAATCGCAGCCAGAAGCATTATTATGACTCTACTTGTAAATCTGTGTGAATTGTTAGCGTCTCTCTTTGTGTAGTGTACCAGTGGATTGCTTTCCACCACTTGAATTCATCATACCGTCCTTTTGATACCCTTTGAACTATTTTATTCCAATGTGCTTGATCTTCTGAACGAAACCTCGGCTCTCTAGTTTTTAGGAAACTGCGGGTAAAGTGTAGATGAACCTATAATGATTTCATGATTAAATTTAAATATTTTGCATTTGTCAATAAAACTTTTTATACCATTTCCTTGGAATGTGCATTACTTTAAATTAGCTGCTTGGTGTGATTTTTATTTTATTTTATTTTTTTCTGTATGTATGTATGTATGTATGTAATGAACATGCACAGCCACATGGGGGCGTTGTAACCCAAGAGATAACATGCCAAGCTGGGGACAAGTGGAGTCTTGACTGGAGGACGCACGCTATCGTGGATACATTTGCCGGTGGTCCATGTTTTTAACAATTCAATTTTATTTATATAGCGCCAAATAACAACTAACAGTTATCTCAGAGCACTTTTCATAAAAGAGCAGGTCTAGACCGTACTCTGTGATGTTATTTACAGAAACCTAACAAAAACTTCCTTTTAAGAAGTCTGAAGCTTCTCAGTCATCCAGGTCATAGTTATCCAAAGAAGGTTAAAGTCAAGGGCAACTGGACTTGGTTGAAGATACTAGAAGACGTTTCCTTCTAAGAGGCAGAAACCTCGAGCAGAACCATCACTCAGGGTGGGTGCCCATCTGCCTCGACCGGTTGGGGGTGAGGGAGAGAGAGAGAGGGAGGGCAGGAGAGGAACAGAGAGAAAAAGAGAGGGATGGAAGGAGAGAGAGCGAAAGAAGGAGGCAGCCTACACAATATCCACACACAGAGGTAGAGACAGTAAAGGTGATGTTGCTATAGACTAAATGAAAAATGGTTTAGATATGTATAGTAGTGTTAATGATAACAATCGTAATGTTAATGATTATAATAACAATAAGACAAGTAACAATAGTTGTAGCAGAGGGTGTCGAGCAGGAACACGGGGGCAGCAGGTGACTCGCAACCACAGATCCAGACTCCACAGCTCCAGAGTCAGAAACACCTGCAGGCAGTCGAGTTAGTAACATCCATTAATGGGATGAGGTTGCATACAGAGGGAGAGAAAGAAGAGGAGAGAGGAGCTCAGTGCATTATGGGAAATCCCCCGGCAGTCTAGGCCTATAGCAGCATAACTAAGGGATGGTTCAGGACTACCTGAGCCAGCCCTAACTATAAGCTTTATCAAAGAGGAAAGTCTTAAGCCTACTCTTAAATGTGGAGATGGTGTCTGCCTCCTGAACCCAAACTGGAACCTGGTTCCACAGGAGAGGAGCTTGATAGCTGAACGCTCTGGCTCCTAGTCTACTTTTGGAGACTCTAGGAACCACAAGTAACCCTGCATTCTGGGAGCGCAGTGCTCTGGTGGGGTAGTAAGGTACTATGAGCTCTTTAAGATAAGATGGTGAGTGTTAACATATTATAAAGCCCAATATAAGATACTTACAACATCAAAACACTGTTCTGCTGAATCCAGTGCACAGAAATCCCATGTTAAAAAAACACCAAAAAAGCAGCCAGTTCTCGGTTAGAGAGCTCTCGCTCCAGCTGTGTACCGTGGCTGTTTTGATAGAAGTAACGTTAAGACCCCAGGGAATGGGCGACTCAATGTGTAAAGTTAAAGTTGTCTTATAAGTTATTTCTTCTTCGTACGTTTAAGGTATGCCAAATTGAAAAGTATATTGTAATTATTTGCAAAATGTCTGGCATGTTTCCTTCATATCTATAAAAAATAGTATACTCAAGAGTTTGAATGGAGGCTCAGATGGAATGCTACAGGCTAGAGACATGCGCCAATCAACAGCTGAGTTAACTATTTAAAAAGCTATCAACATTTCATTTCAGCCACTTGCTTAGTAGCCTATTTGTTAAATTAATCATTTCCACATGTAGAGTCATGCTAATACAGCTGGAAACCACACAGAAGTACATCAGCCAATAACAGGTAGGATGACGTTTGTAAATGTACTGGAATAAAACTATATCATTAAGTGGTGCAAGTAGCATTCAGGGACAGGGACATTTTAGTCTAACTGGCTTCAGTCTGCTTTGATGAGGCTTAATTGAAACCTACAGTACTTCAGTATAAATCTTCACTTTCCTCTTTATAACCTAAATCACCACTTTCAGTTTTGGTTATTGATATAAAATATACTGATGCAGCTTAACTAGATTTTCCCTAGTCTTTTTAAACCCTTTTACTTCCATACCTATACTCGGATTTTCACGAACACACTTTTCATTTTGCAGTACTGTCGAGGCCAGCTGGTCCCTGAGTTTCACATTGGTTTTCATTTGTAGATAAAGCAGTGACAGAAATGTATACCGTAGTATCTACCATTTTCCTTGCTGCCTCATTCTTTCCAAGGTAAACGTCTAAATGTATAAAACATACTGATTTGGAAGCACTGACATACATTACTTAGGGATCTTTGATTTAAACAACTAGTCTACATTCCACCATCTTCATACTCCCACTCCAGACATCTGAGAGTGGTGACATTCAGATATCTGACTTTGCATGCTGAGATTCCTGTATAAATCTGAATTTATAACCTGATTCATTGTGCAGTTTCCATGAATATGTATGCATTTGACAGTTGCAGGTCAGCTGTGTATTGTACCCTTTAGGCAGTCTTTATGTATTTCATAATCTTTATGAAGTTGAGTTTTACCTTCTTCCAATAAAACATCTTTAAAGGCAAGAAAGTTCAAATAAGATTCCTCAGATTTGTTTTGATAAAAGGCGGCGGCAGGAGAAAAAACAGTCTTCAGTCTTCTTTAGGCCTAATTGTTCTTTCTTGGCTCCAAAACCAGTGAGTTCAGTTTAATCTTTGTTTAATTGAAGAAAATTCTTGCCCATCCAATTGTTAATTTGTTCAATGCACTTACTCAGCGCTCGTATGGGCTTATAGTCCCCTGGTGATATGGTTTTGTAAATCTGTGTGTCGTCGGCAAAAGTATTTTGTTTTTTCGTAATCTGAGAGAGTGGAAGCATGTAGATGTTGAATAGAAGAGGCCCCAGAATGGAGTCTGGGGAACTCCACGGGTCTTTTTTGTCAGCTCCGGTGTGTAATTACCCATAAACACCAAGTAGTCCCTGTCCTTTAAACAGGATTCAAACCAGTTTAGTACTGTGCCAGAAAGTCCCACCCAGTTCTCCAGTTGGTTTAGTAATATGTTGTGTTTGCAGCACTGAGATCCTATAATACCAAGACTGAAATCCTGCCACTGTCTGTTTTTAAGTGGCGGTCTGCTGTGGTGTGGTCGGAATCCAGAATGGAAGACATCAAATCAGTTGTTTAGAGCCATGAAGAAAAACAGCCTTTTCAGTGATTATACTTCGAAATGGGAGGTCTGATATGGGTTAGTGACGTGTCTAGACCGATCCTTTTTCAGAGTAGGTTGTCGGGGCCTATGGGAAGAAACCTGAGAGAATAAGAGACAGTTCTTAATTGGACCCTGTGTCCCCAAATAGTTCCTGAATATCTTAGAATCGAGTACTGTAGGCCTATAGATGTCAATGGAGAGTTACTATATTAATGGATCATTACATAATATCTATGAATCGACATACCGACTGCTCTCTTTGTGATTAACTCTGAATCAGCTACTAATAACTCATTCATTTCTCATTACTTAGTCATTAGTCTCTCTCTTGTGCACCGCTAAGTAAAGTGATACATTGTGCATGTGGAGTTGCTAAATAATTCCTAATTAATGAGTCGTTACTAGTTCAGTGCTGCTCAGCGGCTGATTCCGAGTTAATCAGAAACTACTTGTGAAGAGAGCAGTCAGTAGTCAGCTATTCGTGAACTAAGAAGAATTAATATGAGTAGTATTACTCAGTCTAGTAACTCTTAATGGTCATACAGAACTCAGTTCTGAGATATTCAGGCCGTTCCTCACTCGTTCCTTAGTAACTACTCACAATTTGGGAGTACAATATTGTAAAGTGTTACCGTGCATTCATGTAACACACAAATAAGGACAGATGCAGCTCAAATTTTATTCACATTTATTGTTTTGCTTTTAGTGTGCTCACAGAAAATTAGAACACCTTAAGCAGAGGAGTTTAATAGCAATTTTTGTAAGCAAAGTTACATTCCTTCTCTAAGTCAAACTGGTCAAAGCTTCTCCAGTATTTACAAAAGGAAACGAGAGAGAGAGACGAGATGCTACACAAACATTTGCATCTGATAGATTCCTTAAATTGTGTCAGAGACCACTGAAAAGGCATTGCCTGCTGTAATCAAAAAGCATACCACAGTATATAAACAGTTAACCATTCCACTTATCACAGCTTGGTTTTGGAGTTCGAAATTGCTTAAGAAGGTCTTTCTTTCAGTATTACTGTGTGTGTGTGTGTGTGTGTGTGTGTGTGTGTGTGTGTGTGTGTGTGTGTGTGTGTGTGTGTGTGTGTGTGTGTGTGTCTTTCTTACAAAAATGAGCGGGTGGAAAAAAGGAGCTGCAAACTTCATGTGCTTCTTGAGATCAAGATTTCATTTTGTACAATAATCACAGTTAAAAACACCCCGCATATACATACTTACATTTTTATTAAGGTCAGAAAACCAACGATAAACAATAAAGCCTATACAACTTGTATTTCTACTGAATCACTGACTGGTACAGCTACAGAGGAGTGAAAAGCTCCTATGAGTTTATATGACTTTCTAAAAAGCTAACTCTGGGATTTTTATTGTGGTCTTATTGTAAAAAAGGACTTAGTGTTGTAAACCGCATGGTGAATGTAGATGTTGGTCTCCTAGTTTTTTAGACTACTTTTTTCCATAATAGTCTGTGGCACATCTCCCAGGCCCGCCCCGCCCATCTCTGAACCCGCCCCCCTCATTTACAGCTCTACCCCCTTCTGCTTCATACCATCTGCATGTCCATACCATTTTGTTTACATGTTGTATAAAAATTCAAAAGAAAAAACAAAACTTAATACTGATGAAAAAATATATGGCAGAGTGGATGTATTTAATCTGTTGTACATATTGAAGCCACCCACCTCTCTAGCCCGTCAGAATGGAAGTAACAATGGGCCGAGATGGGTTTTGTATAAGGGGCAATGGAAACCAAAAATAAAGAAAAGCTTTAAAATAATATCCCTGGTTGTAGACAAGTTCTTCAAAGCCAAGACCTGGCGTCACTCCAACATACAAACAGGGAAATGTTTCTTGATTATCTTTTTTCCTTCTATTTTAATTTTTTTTTTGCCAAAATTTCTTCCTCTTTCCAGACTTATTCGGCTGCCTCTGCAGCTGCAGCCGGAGCTTCTGCTGACGCTGCTTCCTGTGAGGCGGGAGCAGCCTCCTCTGTTTTGGGCGCCTCCTCTGCTGGCTTCTCCTCTGCCTTTGGCTCCTCTGCCTTTGGCTCCTCGGCGGGCACGGCCTCCTTGGCCTCTTTGGGCTCCTCAGCAGGTTTCTCTGCTGGTGCCGCTGCTTCTGCCTCTGGCTTGGCCTCGACCTCCTCCTTGGGCTGCTCTGCAGCAGGTGCAGCCTCCCCCTCAGCAGGCTTGGCCTCCTCGCTAGTAGTCGCTGCTTCCTCTGTGCTTTCAGCCTTCGCCTCCTCTGTGGATTCTGCTGCAGCCGCCTCCTCGTTCTCTGCTCCCTCTCCCGTCTCCTTTTTGGTTTTCTTGAAAGAGAAGCCGCTCAGCTTGAACGACTTCTTGAAGGAGAACCGCTTCTTCTTCTTCTTAGGCGTTTCGTTGCTGGTGGAAGGTGTGGTGCCATCCTCTGCCTTTGCTGCTGCCTCTCCCTCAGCAGGAGCAGGAGACGCCGCCTCTACCTTCTCCCCATCTGCAGCCTCCTTCTCAGCGGTGGGGGCCTCCGCCTTCTCTGCCTCCTCCTTTGGGCTCTCTTCGGCCGCGGCGCTGCCATTGGCTTGCACCTCCTCTTTGCCATTCTCGGCTGCTGCAGGAGAGGCATCCCCGTTTGCTTTAACATGGCCGTTTTCCTTGAAAGAGAGAAACAGTGACTGTTAAAGTCATGTAAAGAGCTGGCATGATTTCAAGACTCAGGCCGGACAGTGCCGCTGATGGACACCAGGGGGCAGCAGACACCATCAAATCTGTAGTGATAAAGCAGACTCTCACTTCAGCCTGGACCCAGTTTCTACTGTCAAGCTCTCGGAGACTTTACATGAAAATGAAAGAAAACAACAGTCATGCTTTAGACTAAAAAGCGCAACATGTTTCCTCATCTATAGGCCTCGGATTTCATTCATATCATTTCATTCAAGCGCAGTATTTCAACTGGATCGCAAGGGGTCGGTGCCTGGTCGCTCCAGCAGCGGAGCGCCAAAGCAGCGCAGCTGCTCATTAAAACAGCAGATGCTCATTAGTCCAGCAGATAAGGAGCAGAGTTCAGATACCTTTCCTAAAAAATGTATCTATGTAATTATAAACGGGATTCTGAATTATGTGTTTTCAAAAATCCACACTATAAAAGAGCGACTAAGAACAGCTCCGAGCCTCTTTCTCTCCGGGGCGCACTCTCTCTCCGAGCCTCTGCCTCCCCTCCTGTGTGATAGCAGGCTTCCGTCTCCACTTTCTAGTCGAGCTTCTCTAACAAAAGGAGTGGTGCTCCGAGCGCACACAGCCTTTGTTGGCGCCGTGCATCTTGTCTAATTCAGCAGTTTCCAAATTACAATCAGGAGACGACTTCACTGAAAGCCGAAAGCAGTTCACTATTATCCTGGAATGATTGGTAGTAAGAAAAAAATAAAAGGAAAGTTACCCATCAACCACTCAACACATCATTTCATTCAGATCCTACATTTCAAAGTGATCAGATCAACAAAAGATCCAACCAAATGGAAAATAAAAGCGTATCTTGACACAGTTCCTTTAAATATCTGCTCATTATAGCCAGTTTCCCACGAAAATGGAAATATCAAATGATCAACTGTTGCTCATGAACTATAATCTATTCCGATTTAAAAACATGTATTTCTATTTAGTTTTAACTCCCACCGCGGAGCTCCATTCAATCTCTCCACAATTACGCACGGATTGCGCCCTCAGAGCGCAGCCTCCTGCAGAACTACCAGATTCTCCCCTGATGGATGTGAGGAGCTGGCTGTTAAAATATCATTTACCTGTCCATTGGTCTTGGTAGGTGAAGCTGCTGCCTCTCCGGGCTTTTCAGCCACGGTCTCAGCCTTTCCGGCTGTCTTGGACAATTGCGCTCCCATGCTTTTCGCTCCAACAAAGAAACTCAACTGATCCAAAAAACGAACAAAGACCCACAAGCCTCTTTGTTGAAAGCAAAGCTCTTCGCTCTTGTCTCCCTCTCTCTGCACAGAGAAAAAGTTCACAGGGAAAATGTAAAGCAAAGTCCAGTTAGAGTGAGGAGGATTTTTCAAAATAGCAGGAAAAAGCGGCCAGGTAAGTCGAAGTAGTACAATCCCAGATTGGTGGCCGTGTCGCGGTAGACAGGCTGCAAAATGGAGAAATCTCCCTTGTTGCTAATAAGATGCGGAGTCCAACGCCCAAGTGAAGAGATGAATGGGCGCTCCGAACGATGACGGCACCGCACGGATTCAGCCAATGAGCGCCTCCGCTCAGAGCGTGGGCGGGGTTTGGGAAAGGGAGTGAACAATAGATTGTAGCGCTGCGTTCAAACTAGGTAGGAATAATAGATTTCAAAAATTTGGCAACATTTAACTAAATCACTGGAACTGCATCTGACCAAAGTGATCATTTATTTTGCATTCAAATATGGAGAAAGAACATAGATCAACAGAAATGAACACACATTAAAGTTTTAAAAACACCTTTTTCCTTCTTTTTGCTCTATTCATTTATTTATTAATTCAAGGTCCATGAGTTTTCTGAAGCTATAGCTAGGTATATCAAATCTAATAACTTTTGCACGCAAGATATGGGCTACAAGCTGATCAAGACATCAGGGGCTCGTTTCATTTCAAATACATCCATTAAAATTTAATTATTTGTGATAATGATTTGATTGATATTTCATATACAGTTTGTCAAAGTTTTGTCTTGTAGGTAGTATTGTCGTGTAAGCTAGTTTTACCAGACAAAATGTAAATACCTTCATGGACAGTGGCTACACTGTGGCCAGCCTAAGGCACACCTGTGTAATACCCATGCTGTCTGATCAGCATCTTGATATGCCACACCTGTGAGGTGGATGGATTATCTCAGCAAAGGAGTTCACTAACAGAGATTTTGACAGATTTGTGAACAATATTTTTTTATTATTATATGATGTGATTTTATGTGATGTAAGAAATTTTTTCATGTCGGTTTTGGATCAGGTCAGACATTGTGGTCTCAGTTGGAAAACTGACCTGTGGAAATCCCACCTAGCAAGCATAAATTCATTTTCAAAGACAGACGAGACCCCATCCAAAAGGGACCTGAGGACAGTTCGACAGGATTAGATTAGTTGTGAGGCTAAGTATACCAGATCCAAAATGAACAACAAACACCTCCTGTATGTGAATGTGTGTGTGGAGTTAGTACAGGGGTTGGGGGTTGGCATGTACCGAGTGCAGTCTTGTTGATGACTATGGGACTGAGTGTTAAAACAGGTCCCTTAGCCCAAATTTGCAATGCAAATCTGTCACGCAGGCAGAGTCAACTGTCCTCTGCTGCACCGAGAGAACCTGAGCTAACACAGCCAGTACCAGACACACTGACGCAGGCTTCCCGGAGTAGTTTTACTCTGTTGCTTTTAAATATTATCAAGTGCAATGCAAAACAGCACTGCAGGGCCTCTCTCACCTGGGATGCAAACTACAGTACTTGATTCAGCTTCTGTTAACGGCCTGGATGTGTCCAAATACAATCACATGTCCTACCAGGGGCTCCATTAGCAGGACGCCAAAATGCTACTTCCTGATAATGTAATACTATCGTAACCTCAGACTGTGGCTTCAATATGTAGCATGAAGTTTGACAAAAAAAGTCTTAGCTCAAGATCGAATTACTTGCTTTTTTCAGCCACATCTCATATTAGACTCAAACATGGTGTACTGATTTTCTCTTTCCGAGTTGGCTGGTATTCAGACTGAAGTAGGTGGACTTTTTTGGGTCTAACTACAGTTTCCAAGGTCAAGAATGAACGTTCATGCTCAATAGCATAGATATGAGTCAACATGTGTGTTACGCCATCTCATGAAATCATTGATGGTAGAAAAAATGAAAGCAATCTTGTTAAATAATCAGTAATAATATAAGTCATTTTAACCCTTTCATTCATGAATTGATAAATCACAAAGTATTAGTTTTTTATGTTTGTTTTTACTTTTAAAATAAGTGAAAAATAATGCCTATAAACTTTCCCCCCCAGTTGATTTTATTTTGAAATGTCATGGTGTCCACTGCATCAATGGCATGAAAAGTGATTCCATGGAACTCAACATAGGTCCAAAAAACTACATGTTTTTAAAACATTTACTAAAAGCAAGTGGTAAATATACACATAAAGTTAAGTGCAAATTATATCAGAATTTTAAATGAAACATCCTAAATAAGGTGGAATCTACATAGACAGAATCCAAATCCAAATGTACAATAAATATATCATGGAAATCTGGATAAAGGTATTTCTAAAAAATTTTATTTTTTTACTGGTCTAGTTTTCTGAGAATAAAAGGTTTCACAGTTATTGCTGAGGTACTTGGTACATCTCCTCTTCCCTCCCCTATTTTAAATTTATGATGCAGTATATAATATGACAGATATGTTTAGATAATAATCAAATGGAATTGTAGACAACACTTTGGGGGTCTGCCGCGTAACGGTTGGGACATGGTACTATAACTTAAATGGCTCAAAATGGCTTTCAAATATCTGTCCACTGTAGTGTCCACTGTAGGGCGGACTTGGTGATGCTTCTAAAATGTGAATATTTGCTGGATTTCTTAGTCTCCTATAGTAGTAAACTGAATATCTTTGGGTGTTGGACTGTTGATTGGACAAAACAGACCTCTGAAGATGTCACCTAGGGCTCGGGGAAATTGTGACATTTTATAGACAATTAATCAAATATGACAAATATGTGTTCTGGAAAAACCCACAAACACCACCTCTCAGCCAGCGGTTAGAGGGACTACCCAGCTGTCTTTCTGTGGAACACTTGCAATGAAGGGGAAGGACCCGATGGGCTTCCTGAAAATTAACCTCATGGAGGATTCCCTGAAACAAGAACTGGATCTCTTTCTTCTGAACATTTGTGTGTGTGTTTATGATTTTTTTTTCTCTTCTATTCTACAGGATACTCAAAATCTCATCTCAGTGTCTGCTTAAGCTACTAGCTTTATCTGGAGCTTTAAGTGCCCTGTCATTTTCATTATCGTTTCATCTGCTGATTATTTTTTGATTTATCAATTAGTTGTTTGGTTTCATAAAATGTCAGGAAATAGTGAGATCTGTCCATCACAATTCTCTAGCGGTCAAAGTGGCATCTTCAAATTGCTGTTCAAAACCAAGAGATATTCAGTTATGTATCACAAAAGACAGAAAAGAAACAAATCATCACAATTGAGAAATTGCACATAATTGCATATGACGACATCGCGATTGCGATTAGATTAATTGTGCAGGCCTAGTTCACACACAACGCGACAATGCGAATAAACAAAACCCACCATTACTACAGCTGGATGAACCCAAAAACAAATATTTTGCTGTGATTTAGTTACAATAAACAAATCAAACTCACGCCAAAATAACTACATAATGACGCAGATTTGTTAAAAATATTAAGTTTGCTGCTGGTCTGTCAGCAAGATGACAAACTTACAAGTTACAACTTACAACTACAAGTTCAGTTTACTCGCTTACTTTTCTCCAAGCAATCCCTGTTTTGTCTGATTTCTATATACTTATCTAGTAGCCCCACAGAGCTATGGCAGCTAACAACAGTGGGGGCTGAAAACAAGGCAGGTCACTGCTGAGAAGCGCAAGTGAAGATAAATCAAAGTTTTAATCCCAAAAAATACAAGTAAAAAGTTAATTTCATAAAAGCAGTTAACTCTGAGCTCCTCCCACTGGTAAACTGCTGGGTTATCAGAGCAGAATCCAGACCGACTGGTTGCTTATTTGTCCAAAGATCCGGCACTGCTCCCGGCTCTCTCCTTCTGCGCTCCCTGTAGCTCAGCAGCTGTTTGTCGGTGAGCAGAGGCACTTTGCATTTCCGGCAGCGTGCCCACGCCACGCGGAAGGAAATCGCATCCCTCTGCATCTTTACAGTTACTTTGAATGTAAATGTGCTCATCCCAGCGCTGGCATCGTGTTGTACGTGAAACCAGCGTTAAACCCATTAGCCAGTATCTGGACCTTTTAGTTAAGATCATTTTCTCACCACTGTTCCCAAGAATGAACTTTTATGCTAAATTTCTTATACACAATTCTTTGCGTGTGTGTGTCCGATGTTGTAGATACAAAAGTTGACAAAAAAAAAAAGATTAATAATGTCAACCATTATACTTAGCTTTATTATAAAGTTATTAATAGCTTCATAGCTTTTTTGTGGCTGTAACCTCTATATTCCAAAAAATAAATTTATTGAGTCATAAAACCTATGTAGCATTGTCTAAAACGTGTTGTTTTTTTATTATAATTAAACCTTTTTTAACCAGGAAAGGCTCATTAAGATTGTAAATCTTTTTTCCAGGAGCGTCCGAGTGAAGACAGTCAGCAACAAGAATACAATATCATAAAAACAAGAACAACTTAAAGGTTCAGTGTGTAATATTTCTGAGGATCTACTGACAGAATTGACAGTGGTGTATAAAGACCTTACACAATGACCCGTTATGTTTTTATTACCTTAGAATGATATATATACACTGCAGGTCCTTTTACGTGGACGTCGCCATGTTGCGCTGCCATGTTTTAACAGTAGCCCAAATGGACAAAGTGCTCTACAGAGCGTGTTTCGTCACTACGTTGAATACATACGAAAAACAAGCAGAAGTAGTAGTAGTCTATAGGTTTACTAGGTTTATTAGAAGTGATATTTAGACAAATAATAAAAACTTTTCCAGGGGTATATATCATATAAAGATGTTAAAAGACCATACGTTGAAAGCCTTTTTGTTGTTGAATTTTAAACTTGATATAACAACCTCTGCAGTACAAAGTTCGAAGTTAGGTTTTTTTACTGCTAAATTTTACCTTGCTATTTGCATTTAATACATTTATTATAAAGCAGTTTTTTCGTCTGAGGAGCAAGTGAATGCACAGTGAGCTATTTGTTGCAATTTGCAACCGTCACAACTAGGTGCCACTAAAACCTACACACTAAACCTTTCACTCACAATAATTGACACAGCCAAAATTACAAACAATGACACATAGCAGCAGTGATTTAAAATTGCCAAGAGAGACTAATTCTTTCAATTTAATACTATTTTGTGGGGTGTTCAAGGCTGATGGGGCAGAGTCCCTGAAAGCTTTTTTTCCCCCCAAAATCCGTTCTAACATTTGGGACAGTTAACAAAATAAAATTTTGTG